TGTAGGGCACGTTCTAGAGATCTTAGCTCTATACCATCCATGACAAGTCGATCGCGTGCATTCATACATGTTGCTTTGCAGCACCGGGGCTTGCGGATACGATCTCTCATTAACTTGCATTTGCTATCTTTCAATCCCAAATTTGAATTATCGTGCATCATGGTTTTAATCGCATTTCACATGCCATGTGTAGTTAGCCGAGCCTATTTCTGTAACATGTTTGTCATCGCGATGCCATTAAGGCTCACTTGAACAGACTCTGGATCCATGCATGTCTGGCTAACAAGTTCTTATGTTTTGGATTTCGCGTGAATATGTACTATGTAAGTGATTTACTAAATGATTTAGGCAAGTATCGCTGATGTCTGGTGGTGAATGCTACGCCATGACGCGCATAGGTCTAACTCATAATGTGGCTAACTGCTTATATAGAGATGGAAACTGTATTGAATGCCCGTGGGTGGAGGTTCGGATTGTGTGTTGAGTTGGAACAATACTCTCTTTGAAATCTCTAATTATAGCTATCGGCGCATAGTAGCAAATTTCCAAAGCGCCTTTTTCAAACAAACGGATATGCAATCGCTATTTCCAAATTAGACAATCTAGTCCTTTACTTGTTGCTGCAGCGCATAACATAGTAACGCTAGGCCAAATAATTGGAATAAGAATACATAACGTTTTTCACAAATCGGATTCATGGTTAGTAGAGACCGGTCTTCGGACGGGGCGAAAAGGTGCTCATATGCTGGACCTCCCCGATCGTTACCCTGTAGCTCCCGAGCTGAGACAACTCCCGGTCGATGACGACATGTGACCTCCGGCACCGAGTCAGGCTGGTTTCCGTAAATTCCCCTTATATTTCCCCATTTAAAAAAATATTTAGGTGGCGACTCTGTATCTGGCAAAGCAGTCCATGTTTGGCACTTCTTTTCAAAAATCTGTTTCTCAAAACGATTTGCCGGATTTGGACTCTTTGGTTCAGATTAAGAACCGTGACAATTTGAGACTCCGAGCTGTAGTGACCCCACAAATGAACAGAACGGGACTCACCCTCCCGGGGCGTTCGGGGGACGTCTACAGCAAGTGGTAGCAACCACATTATGACGATTTTTTTTTTGAACTATTTAATTTAATTTTAAATTTGAATAAAAAATTCAGTTTATATGAATTATTCTAATTCTTTCTTCAAATTTTTATCAAAATCTTTTTAAAAAAACTACTTTCTCATTCTAAATTTCATTTTTCATTAATTTTGATCAAAAAAAAAACCCCAACTCCAATCCTTCATTTTTTATGTTCATCAAATTTAAGTGAAAAAAGACTTATATGGTAAAAGATTTGGTTCATCCTTAATTTAATAAAAAATTTGCTTCTCCCTTAACTTGATACAAGTTTAATGAAAGGATTGGATCTCATTTTCACTAAAAATTTCATCAAATTTAAATTTAATGAAGGATTAGAGATATTCTAACGAAAATATAAATTTTTCTAGTATGTAAAGTGTACAATATGTGCCTCTAAATAAAATTATAAGTGATATCACAAAAATGTATAAGTTAAATACAAATTCTTGTAATCACATAAGTTTCACAAACTTATGCGAATTTGTATTTAACTTATGTATTTTTATGAAATTATTTATGTAAATTCGTGAAAATTTACGTAATTTTGTGTAGAATTGTATACAATGTGCATTGCACACCAGGAAACTACCTTTAACAGGCAATTATTCAATAAAATAAATGGTAACTTACATTTTGCGCCTTTTATGTTTGGTCATTTTCTTACTTTGGCCCTTAAAATTATTTTTTCTTAGTTTAGTCCTTCATATTTTAAGTTTTTTTCCCATTTTACACCTAAACTAATTTCTGTTAAAAATTAAACAGAAAATGACACATTAACAGACGTGTGGCATAAAAATATTTTATTATATATAACTCATATCTCTAATATAAACTTACTTCAATATAATAATATATTTTTTTATATTATGTAACAATTATTATGGCATTTTCTATTTTTTGGGGGACAGAAATTAACTTTAGTAAATTGAAATAAATTTAAAATACGAAAGGTCAAAGTGAAAAAAAAAAAAACAAAAAAAAAACAACTTTAAGGATCAAAGTAAAAAAGTGATCAAACATAAAAAGAGAAAAGTGTAATTTATCCTAAAATAAAATACTATATATCATCCGTTTATTATTATTATTTTTGTTACTTTTATTTTTTTTTTTAATATCACTATCTATATATAAAATAATACTATTATCCTCTTATTCAATAGTCACGAATATTATCTATGTAATATCATTAAATTGGCCTATTTTGGAAAAATAAGTTAAAAGTTAATTTTTTGATTTTTTTTTTTTTGAAAAAATGTTCAAAAAAATAGAAATGTAATGTGATCCAAAAAAACTAAAAAAATTAAAAAGTTAACTTTTAACCTAGTTGTCAAATAGGCCATTGTGTTCTTAATTGATGACTTAACTTATTTCGATGTACACCAAAAAATAATAATAATAATAATTAATTAATTTAATGAAAAATTTAATTGACAATAATAACTTCAGAGGCACAAAATAACTTAATGTATTTCATCATTTTTATATATTAACAATATCATATAATATTTTATGACTGTTAATAATTTTTTTAAAAAGGTAGAGTCAGTAATGAATATATTTATGAATTGATAGAAGTAACGCCGATTGAACATAAGTTGAGAGAGAATATATTAAGATTGTTTGGTCATATGCAATGGAGATCAACGGAGGCAATAGTGAAGAGAGACAATACAATTATGGTAAATGGAAATGCTGAGGGAAGGGGTAGACTTACATTAATGTGGGATAGTGTAGTGAATAGAGATATAAATTTCGTTAATTTGACTAAGATAAAGCTGAATAGAGAAGAAGGATTTATATAACCGACCCCATTTGATGACATTTATAAGACTTGGTTTGATTTGGTTTAATAATTTTCTAAGGTTAACTTTACCCCCAAGGCATCCTTCATCTTTTTTTAATTATTCAATGACGAATTACACTAACAGTCCTTATAGTTTCATAGTTGTGTCACTTTGATCACTGACTTTTCAATTGTGATACATTTGACCATAAATTTTGAATTTTGTTCCAAACAAGAACAATCAAAGATCTTTCCTTTGCAAACAATCCATTTTAATGATAAAGTCGTCATACAACTTATTTTGTGTAGATTAACTTGTGGTTAAATGGGACTACTTATCATTGCAAGCGAAATATTTTAGATTATGTTGCAAACCTTAACCCTTTTGACTCTTGTATGTAAAATTGAGTTTCAAGTAGAGGCATCAAGAGAGTAGGCATATTATCAAAAAATTGAATGACTTATGGAGCGACAGCAACAACAAGGTGGGTGGAATCCAGTATTCCAACGAAGACAAGGGAGTCATGGAGTGGCAGGACAGCTCCACACGATTTTTGTCGATAAGATTCCGGATTCTATGAATCCGAAAGGATAGTTCACCATGTTTTCAAATTTTGGTGTTGTCAAGGATGTTTACATCCTAGAAAAAAGGCAGAAAACAATGAAAACCAAAATTGGATTTGTAAGATTTGACTGTCCGGTCACAGCGGGGATTGCTATTCAGAAAGCTAATGGAGCTTGGTGTGGTGATAAGTCTTTGAAGGTAAAAAAGGTTGATTTTGGGAAAGACAAAGATCTGACAAATCTAAGACTAGGAGTACAAAAACCAACTGAGGTATAAAGTTTAGTTGGTGTTGGTATTGGAGGGAGAAGGTCCTATGCTGAGGTGCTGAAAGAAGGGAGGTCTGACAATGGTAACAACATTAGAATCAAAGCGAAGGAATATGCCATTGGTTGGTTAGTATCAATAGCAGTAATCAAATTTAAACCTCATTGCAAATTTGATGATTTTAAGACTGAATGTCGAAACAGAGGTTTGAAGGACATACAACTTAGAGAAGGTGGTTGGAGGAATGCGTTTATCACATTTAAATCACAAGAAGACTTGAAGCAATCGCCAAACAACCTTGGAGATTGGCTATTGGAGTGGTGTGATTCAATCATTGAGTGGAATAAAGGAATGAGGTTAAATAATGAAAGATTGGTTTGGCTGAGTTGTTTTGGGATGCCTCCAAATCTCTGGAATGTTGATAACTTTCGGAAAATTGATGGTGCTTGGGGGGAGGTAGTTGAACTTGATCATAATGTCTCGAGCATGGTGTCTCTAAAGTGTGGGAAATCAGAATTTGTACATCTTATTTGGAATGTATTGACAAGTTGGTTATTCTGGAAAAAGATGGTAGATCATACCCTGTTCGTGTAGTTGAAGTCGAGGATTTGTCAACTAAGTCCATAGATGGTGGTAATCAAAGTTCTGCAACTTGCCATGGAAGCAGAAAGGAAGGTGATGACGTGGGCAATATTGTGGCTGATGTGGGCAGTAGTCATGACATGGCAAGTGGTAAGAAGACTAATGATGGGTTGTTGGGGGCTGCTTCAAATCACAAGTGTAACTCAGTCTCTATATCGATGGTTAATGAGACTACTGCAGTAATGGGAATTCGTGATCATGCTTTGGTCCATCTAGTACCCAATGTAAGTTTACAGGCACCATTAGTAAGGGAGGCTGAAGGGAGTGAAAGATGAGGCGATGCAGTGTTGGAATCTTTTAATGGGTCTAATGGGTTTATTAGAAGTTTAAGTGCAGGTGATCTAGATAGGCCCAATTTATCTCTAGAAGTAGTACTGGATCAAGCCCATTTTGATGGAAAGAGTCTGGGGCCTAATAATGATAAGGTCACTCATATTGAGAGGGTTAACCCGAATGAAGGAGTTCAGGATAATGACAGTATAGATGAGGAGTCCAGCCCAAGTGAAGAAGAAGGGGAAATGTATCAACCTGGTGCTTATGTTTGGGCTAATAAGGCAGATGGCCAGCGAAATGACGGTAGAGTGCAGGGGCTATTATTTAAAAATGGTTTCCATAGAGGTGACCTTGTTCGAGCTGCAGCACTGGCATCCTTATCATCTTTATCTATCAGTAACAATTTAAGAAAACAAAGGAAAATCCGAAAAGAAGCTGAGGATACAGTTCAGTTGGGTATGACTCTGGGGTTGGCAATGAATGGGAAGGAAGCTGAAGTTGTGGAGCGAGTAATTCAGATGGAAGTTGAAGACATGGATAGAGTGAAGGCAAAAGGGGTGGAGCCAGGTGCTTAATTTGAGCACTTGGTAGGTGGTTCTAGCGTATAATTGTATCCTCATGAAAATTCTTTCCTGGAATGTTAGAGGCTTGGGTAGGGCAGATAGAAGGCAAAGGATTAAGGAATTTCTAAGTCAGAAATATGTGGATATGGTTCTGCTGCAAGAAACAAAACGGTCATGTATGGATGAGAGTGGTGTTAGGTCTTTGTGGCCTATTGATTCGGTGGAATTCATGGAAGTGGGCGCAGATGGTAGTGCTGGAGGGCTTCTTTGTGTATGGAACCCTCTGATCTTCTCATTAAAGGAGTGCTGCTGTTTCAGAAATTTCATACTATTGGCAGGTATTATGCACTCTTCTATTAATTGTGTAATTTGTAACATTTATGCTCCAAATGAAGATTTGAATAGGAGAAGGTTATGGGGTATTCTTTCCAATTTGAAGTCTATTTTTCCTAATCCTTGGTGCCTAGGGGGTGACTTTAATGAGGTAAAAAATATTAGTAAAAGAAAAGGGTGTGTAAGAAGGGACAGAGGAATTGGTGAGTTTGTAAATTTTATTAGCAACCTTGAATTGGTGGATATCCTAATGCTTGGTAGGCAATACACTTGGGGCAATTGGTAGAGCTGGAACAGGATTGATCAATTTCTAGTTAACCCTGACTGGTTAGAATGGTTCAAATACAAGGTTTGGGGGCTACCAAGACTCTCTTCTTCTTTTTTCTGATCATAGCCCTATTCTGCTGATGGAAGATGATAGGAATTGGGGCCCGAAACCTTTCAAGTTCATCAATGCTTGGGTTTTACACCCTGACTTCCTTGATGAAGCTAAAAGAGCATGGGAATCATCAGGTGTACAAGGTTGGGCTTGTTATATCATCATGGAGAAGCTGAGAGTTCTAAAAGTAGCACTGAAAAAATGAATAAGGAAGTGTTTGGTGATGTAGAATCTAAATTGAAAGAAGCTGAAAGTGCTTTACATTCTATGGATTTACAATCTGAATTGAGGGGGTTGACTGAGGTGAAAAAAGGGCAAAAAAAAAAGGAGGTTCTAGATTTGATTTTGAAGCTTAGGAAAAGAAAGTAGTGGATGTGGGTGCAAAAATCTAGGATGGACTGGGCTTTGAAAGGGGATAGAAATACGAGGTTTTTCCAAATTATGGCCTCCAAAAAACATAACAAAAACTTGATAGCTTCTCTTAAGGTTAATGGGGTTGAGGTGGATGAACCAAGTGAGGTAAAAGAAGCAGCTTGTTCTCATTTTCAGAATTTATTTATAGAACATTGGAGGTGTAGGCCAACAATTAGTGGAGATTTTAAGAAGATTGATGCTAACCAAGTTGGTGCTCTATATCGATGGTTAATGAGACTACTGCAGTAATGGGAATTCGTGATCATGCTTTGGTCCATCTAGTACCCAATGTAAGTTTACAGGCACCATTAGTAAGGGAGGCTGAAGGGAGTGAAAGATGAGGCGATGCAGTGTTGGAATCTTTTAATGGGCCTAATGGGTTTATTAGAAGTTTAAGTGCAGGTGATCTAGATAGGCCCAATTTATCTCTAGAAGTAGTACTGGATCAAGCCCATTTTGATGGAAAGAGTCTGGGGCCTAATAATGATAAGGTCACTCATATTGAGAGGGTTAACCCGAATGAAGGAGTTCAGGAGAATGACAGTATAGATGAGGAGTCCAGCCCAAGTGAAGAAGAAGGGGAAATGTATCAACCTGGTGCTTATGTTTGGGCTAATAAGGCAGATGGCCAGCGAAATGACGGTAGAGTGCAGGGGCTATTATTTAAAAATGGTTTCCATAGAGGTGACCTTGTTCGAGCTGCAGCACTGGCATCCTTATCATCTTTATCTATCAGTAACAATTTAAGAAAACAAAGGAAAATCCGAAAAGAAGCTGAGGATACAGTTCAGTTGGGTATGACTCTGGGGTTGGCAATGAATGGGAAGGAAGCTGAAGTTGTGGAGCGAGTAATTCAGATGGAAGTTGAAGACATGGATAGAGTGAAGGCAAAAGGGGTGGAGCCAGGTGCTTAATTTGAGCACTTGGTAGGTGGTTCTAGCGTATAATTGTATCCTCATGAAAATTCTTTCCTGGAATGTTAGAGGCTTGGGTAGGGCAGATAGAAGGCAAAGGATTAAGGAATTTCTAAGTCAGAAATATGTGGATATGGTTCTGCTGCAAGAAACAAAACGGTCATGTATGGATGAGAGTGGTGTTAGGTCTTTGTGGCCTATTGATTCGGTGGAATTCATGGAAGTGGGCGCAGATGGTAGTGCTGGAGGGCTTCTTTGTGTATGGGACCCTCTGATCTTCTCATTAAAGGAGTGCCGCTGTTTCAGAAGTTTCATACTATTGGCAGGTATTATGCACTCTTCTATTAATTGTGTAATTTGTAACATTTATGCTCCAAATGAAGATTTGAATAGGAGAAAGTTATGGGGTATTCTTTCCAATTTGAAGTCTATTTTTCCTAATCCTTGGTGCCTAGGGGGTGACTTTAATGAGGTAAAAAATATTAGTAAAAGAAAAGGGTGTGTAAGAAGGGACAGAGGAATTGGTGAGTTTGTAAATTTTATTAGCAACCTTGAATTGGTGGATATCCCAATGCTTGGTAGGCAATACACTTGGGGCAATTCGCAGAGCTGGAACAGGATTGATCGATTTCTAGTTAACCCTGACAGGTTAGAATGGTTCAGATACAAGGTTTGGGGTCTACCAAGATTTTTTTCTGATCATAGCCCTATTCTGCTGATGGAAGATGATAGGAATTGGGGCCCGAAACCTTTCAAGTTCATCAATGCTTGGGTTTTACACCCTGACTTCCTTGATGAAGCTAAAAGAGCATGGGAATCATCAGGTGTACAAGGTTGGGCTTGTTATATCATCATGGAGAAGCTGAGAGTTCTAAAAGTAGCACTGAAAAAATGAATAAGGAAGTGTTTGGTGATGTAGAATCTAAATTGAAAGAAGCTGAAAGTGCTTTACATTCTATGGATTTACAATCTGAATTGAGGGGGTTGACTGAGGTGGAAGAGGGCAAAAGAAAGGAGGTTTTGGGTTTGATCTGGAAGCTTAAGAAAAGAAAGGAGTGGACGTGGGTGCAAAAATCTAGGATGGACTGGGCTTTGAAAGGGGATAGAAATACGAGGTTTTTCCAAATTATGGCCTCCAAAAAACATAACAAAAACTTGATAGCTTCTCTTAAGGTTAATGGGGTTGAGGTGGATGAACCAAGTGAGGTAAAAGAAGCAGCTTGTTCTCATTTTCAGAATTTATTTATAGAACATTGGAGGTGTAGGCCAACAATTAGTGGAGATTTTAGGAAGATTGATGCTAACCAAGTTGGTGCTGTTCTGGAGAAAGAATTCACAGAGGAAGAAGTTTGGGCTGCTATAAAAGATTGTGATGGTAACAAAGCCCCAGGTCCAGATGGATTTAATATGATGTTCTTTCAAAAAGGGTGGAAATTCTTGAAAGGCGACATTATGAAGTTTATGAAGGAGTTTTATAGCAACAGTAAATTGGGATTTCGGGTAAACTGCTCTTTTGTCTCTCTTATTCCTAAAAAGGAGAATCCAAGCTCTCTTCTTGAGTACAGACCGATTAGCTTGATAAATTCCCCATATAAGGTGTT